ATTCAAGACATGATATTTCTAGCAAAAGATCTAGAAAATTCCAAGCCACAAGACTCGGATAATCAAGGTAAGAAGGACCAAGAAAATATAAGCAAACTGATGTCTTCCAAGCCTATTAGGAACCAGAAAAGCTCGGCTGTTTCACGGAAAGCATTTCCTTGTGGAATTTGTGGATCCAGTTTTACCCGCAAGTCGCATCTCAAACGCCACCTGATAATACATACTGGAGAGAAACCCTATCAATGTGAGGTTTGTGAATCTCGTTTTACACAGGGCTCACAACTCAAAGAGCATATTAGAATCCATACTGGAGAGAAACCCTTTTCTTGTGATATTTGTGGTTCCAGCTTTACGCATAGTTCAGGTCTTAAACTTCACATGCGAAAGCACACGGGTGAGAAACCATTTACATGCGAACACTGTCAGTCTAGATTCAGGTGCTCATCAAGTCTGAAGCGTCACATGTCAACACACACTGGAGAAAAACCCTTTATTTGTATTATTTGTGGAGCAGCATTTTCATGCAGGTCAAATCTCAAACGGCACATGGTGATACACTCTGGAGAAAAACAGTTTCCCTGTCAGGTTTGTGAATCAAGGTTTACTCTCAGTGCACAACTCAAAGACCATATGAAAACTCACACAGGAGAGAAACCATTTCTATGTGATGTCTGTGGGTCTAGTTTTCGACACAGTTCAAATCTCATTGACCATATGAGAATACACACTGGGGAGAAGCCTTACCCCTGCGATGTGTGCGGGTCCAGGTTTATTCGAAGTTCTCAGCTCAAAGATCACATGAGAATACACACAGGAGAAAAACCTTTTCTTTGTGATTATTGTGACGCGGCTTTCTCCAACACTTCAAAACTGAAGCGGCATATGAAAACACACAATATTTTAACTCATTATTTTTCTTTTTGAAGTTGGTTTTATTATCAGAGCCAATCACAGGCTAAAAAGTTTCACATTTTTTTTTAACTGCACTTTCACTGCTGACCGCTTATTTCTTAATCATATATGCCTTTGGAAATAAGATACAAAAAATTCAAACTCAATTCAGTTTCCTATTTTTTATGTATATTAGGTTGTCCCAAAAGTTCGTAAACACTTGCAAAAAATTGAAATTTTACTCACCAAGTAATAACAAAAACAACAAAAATTATTCCTCAAAATAAAGACCATCATATTCCAAGACTTTCTGCCATCGATCTGCAAGCTTTCGGATCTGGTGAAAGTACCGTTCAGCCGGCTTCGAATCAAAGAATTCTTAACACGCTTCCTCGACTTCATCAAACGAGTCTAATCGGCGGCCCTTCAGAAAGTGTTGCATTGAGCAGAAAAGGCCGTAATCTGATGGAGCCCGGTCAGGACTGTAGGCTGGATGTGTCAGAATCTCAACGCCGTCCAGCTCTTCAATCTTGTCTTTGGTCTTCCTGGCGGTGTGTGGCTTGGTATTGTCCTGCTGCATCAAAGTGCACTTTTGGTTGATCAAAGCCAGGTACTTTTGCTTCAACTTTTCGTAGACCCGCTCCAGTTGCTGACAGTAAAGTTCGACGCTGATGGCACGACCATTCGGAACCAACTCAAAATGCACAATTCCTTCAAAGTTCCACCAAACGCACAACATGACTTTCTTGCCGAATCGATCTTGTTTTGGAATCGACGGTGTCTCTTGCCCTTTCTGAACCCATCGCTTGTCTCGATTGGGCTGGATTGTGTTGCATAAAAATTCAATTTTTCGCAAGTGTTTACGAACTTTTGGGACAACCTAATATTTAATTACCTATACAATATAGTTACATATTATTTAGTTACATATACATATATGTATTGTTGTTCATGATCACAATCACCCCTCCTTTGTCAGAGTGGGGGTGATGTGGATACTACTATAGAAATGAACAAAGAAAATACATCACCATGGAGACGCATAAATGCACTAAAGAACCTAGCAAGAAATAAGGAAATCCACATCACTCCTCCTGACAAAGTGGGGGGGATTGGGATCTTGAATAAGAAGACATACATAGAAAAAATTAACTCACTATTCCACAATACCAACACATGTGAATATATATATATATATATATATATATATATATATATATTGTGTATTTAGGCAGCATTCCTTCTTTCATGCAAGCATCATTAAATGTGACAAACAAGGTGCTTTGATTAAGCTAAATACATACATACAACAATCCATTTTCAGGTAACACTAAATATAATTCATCTTTGATAATGGTTAAAGGTACAGCCAAAAGTGCTTGGAAAAATAAAACATTTTTTGTATAATTTATCTATGGAAAAGAAAAAATGATAATATCGTATGAGAAATTATATTAAAAACTTAATGAAAGCATCTTGTCTGTCATATTTAATGAAGCTTGCACACACACACACACACACACACACACACATATATATATATAAAACTTTATATAGTTACATATATATATATAGGTACTGCCACTAATTCGGTATACATAAGGTATAAAAAAAATTTTTTTAAATGCAAAAGCTTTCTTGAAGCTTTCATTTTAGCTTTAATTGAAAGCTGAAGGATTTAAAAATTACTATTTCCAGTCAACAAAGTATTCTGTGGTGTATTTCAAGTAGAAATTATATTGATTGGAATCGTTTTTTTTTCCCAGTAAAATCAATGAAAACAGCCATTTTAATATATTTGTAAACAAAAGTTAAGTTTTAGTTTTAAAAATCTTGCAAAAATAAAATATATATTGCTGAAATGTTATTTGAGGAAGATTATCAAATTTAATGTTAAATTAATCTGATTTGAAACAAATATTACTTATAGCATAAAATGTTGTATGCAAGCATTTCTTAACCATGGGGTCTTGTTTTTCTGATGTGTTAATCGATTTCTTGACAGCTGAATGACCACCAAACATATTTATAGTTAAGTCTGGTGAAGCAGATGATAAAATTTACATGAGGGTTTTTTTTCCATAAGAGCGGGACAATCCTTAAAGCACATGACCTTTTAATGATAAAATTATAGGTTTGAACATCCATACTCAGAAATTCTGCATGTACAACATATATAAAAACAAATCGAAATTTTTAAAAAATACTCGGGGGTTGTCAGATTATAATAAGCTTTACAATATATGATTAGTAAATATTTGTTTTACTTAATAACCCCATTTCTAAAGAGTTATCACATTGAAACTGAATTTTAAAAGATTTAAAATCTTAATAAATTATTCAATTTAAAATTGTAAAAAAATGAAAACAAATCTTAAGATTTAAAAAAAATGACTAAATAAGCGTTTTAAGTTTTCTGAATATCTGTGTCATAAAAACAATATTGGATTAAATTTTTGAAAAAGTCTATTAATTTATTAAATTATTTGGGGTATGAAAATATAAACTGACATATGTTGACACGAAAAAAAGCTGCGAGAAATATATAATCCTTAAAAGGAGTAATTGGCCATTTTCTTGCAGTAAGGACTGCTGTAGCCTAACAGTAAGGCATGCTCGACTTAAAGGCGGCTTCCCAGCAAAAAGAATTGAAATGTTCTTTCAAAATCTAATAAGCAAGGGGTTGGATTAGGTTAGAATTTAGTTTTATTTGTGTGAAGGAATGGTAAATAAATATACAGCATATTATTTAAAGAAAAGTAAAATAATTTCAGAAAATTCAAACTCAATTCAGTTTCCTAGTTTATGTGTATATTTAATTACCTATACCTTATAGTTACATATTATTTAGTTACATATACATATATGTATTGTTGTTCATGATCACAATCACCCCTCCTTTGTCGGGGGGGGGGGGTGATGTGGATACTACTATAGAAATGAACAACGAAAATACATCACCACGGAGACGCATAAATGCACCAAAGAACCTAGCAAGAAATAAGGAAATCCACATCACTCCCCCTGACAAGGGGGGGGATTGGGATCATGAACAAGAAGACATACATAGAAAAAAATTAACTACAGTGTAACCCGGATATAAGAGAGCTGTCAGGACCAGAGAAGTCTCTTATATCCGAGTTTCTCTTATATCCGGGTTTGGTCTATTTTGTTTAGGTAAGTATGGGCTCTAATTTGGGACCAGAGAAAATCTCTCTTATATCTGGGTTTATCTTATATCCGGGTCTCTTATATCCGGGTTACACTGTACATCAAAAGTTTGACTGCAAATAAATTACAAAGGCGTCTCTAAAATCTTTCATTCATTATTTTTGTCTTCACTGATTGTTGTGTGTTGTCATATATAACCATGAACTGATTGTGAAAGGCATGAAACCTATAATGGAATACAAGGGAAACTTCATATGTCTAAGGCCCTCCAATTTTACTTTCCTCAGCCAACTATTATTATTTTAAAAGATACTATTTTGCATTATTATGATTTGAATGCCTTTTTAGAATTGAATGAATTATAATTTCAATGAATCTTTAAAATTTATGTCAAATCAGTTTTGTAATTTGAAATGATAATTTTCGTAGAATTTAAACTTTTTCTAGGAATGTTTCGTGAAAATAAAGAAAAAAGAATTTGCAAGAAAAAAGCAGGCGAGTTGGAATTCTTTTTTAAAATTAATAAGTGCACAGTGAGGTGGGGGTAAGATTAGCAATAACTAGGTAGAACTAAAAAAGAACAAGATGAGATATTTGTAAACAGAACAAGAAGTCTACCCACAAAGATTAAATAAAGGGCTCAGATCAAAATTCCTTGATGTTTACTTGATTTTCACAGGCCTGACAAAGGTCAGAAGACTCAATAGCCGAAATGTTGTGATGATAACAACGATGAGGATATTAGTCCAAATGTAAATAATGTAAATAAATAAAAGTTAAAGTTTTTCCAGTTAATGTCAGCAGCAAGCAGTGGGAGCGTATCTACAAATATATATGACTATAAGTTCTTTATTCTTGAAATTTAAAATTTTTGGAAAGATTCCAACCAAAGTTTATAATCTGTGCATTACTTTTGCAAGAGTTTTATGGAGATTAAGTTAAAGCAAATTGAAATGAATATCTGAAGTTTTCAAACAAAGGAGAGAGAAAAAGAAATGGGAAAGAGAGAGAGAGAAAAAAAAGGTAGACAGAGAGAAAGAAAAGGTAGAGAGAGAGACAGAGAAAAAGAAAATGTAGAGAGAGAGAAAAAGAAAAGATAGAGAGAGAGAGAAACAAAAGATAGAGACAGAGAGAAAAAAAGAAAAGGTAGAGAGAGAGAAAGAAAAGGTAGAGACAGAGAGAAAAAAGAAAAGGTAGAGAGAGAGAAAAAGAAAAAAATGGTAGAGAGAGAAAAAGAAAAAGTAGAGAGAAAAAAAAGAGAAAAGGTAGAGAGAAAAAGAAAAGGTAGAGAGAGAGAGAGAGAAAAGTAAAGGTAGGGAGAGAGAGAATAGAGAGAGAGAGAAAAAAATGGTAGCGAGAGAAAGAGAAAGAAAACGTATAGAGAGAAAAAGAAAGAAAAGAAAAGAAAGGTAGAAAGAGAGAGAAAAAGAAAAGGTTGAGAGAGAGAAAGAAAAGGTAGAGAGAGAGAGAAAAAAAAGAAAAGGTAGAGAGAGAGAGGAAGAAAAGGTAGAAAGAGAGAGAAAAAGAAAAGGTAGAGAGAGAGAAAGAAAATGTAGAGAGAGAAAGAAAAGGTAGAAAGAGAGATAAAAAGAAAAGGTAGAGAGAGAGAGAAAAAGAAAAGGTAGAGAGAGAGAGAGAAAAAGAAAAGGTAGAGAGAAAAAAGAAAAGGTAGAGAGAGAGAAAAGGTAGAAAGAGAGGGAAAAAGAAAAGATAGAGAGAGAGAAAAAGAAAAGGTAGAGAGAGAAAAAAGAAAAGGTAGAGAGAGAGAGAGAAAAAGAAAAGGTAGTGATATTGAGGTGAAACAAAAGTATTTTCCTTTTTTTTTTGTTATCAACAGAGCAGCCGCTCAAGAATTCTTGCATGCTTTTTAAAAGCTTATGTGATGCTCTCTATATGGTACATACCTCACTGAACTGAGCATTTTCACATGTCATTATTCGGTTCACTTCTACCCTGTGTTGATGCTTTGAAACAACAAAAACAATGGCCAATGGTTGGCAACTTCTGGGTTTTATTTCAAGACACAGATCATCACCTCTTAATTCTTTGCATCTCATAAGGCATTTCTCTTATGAAAAAGTTTAACATTCTTACTCACAAAAAAAAATGGCAGGTCAAAAGGATTCCTGTTGCTGTATTCTACCTTGGCAATTTTTATTGTTTTAAAAAGCTATTTTTGCAATTTTAATAAAACTTAAATATATGAAACTGGATTTATGCATTCTCTTCCGTTTTTGAGAATTGACAACAAAATAATTAAACTAAGGATCTGGCAGCTCTGCCCAGTCACTTTCCCATCGCCATAAGGTTGCCTCTCTTTGTCTTTTCTATAAATATTTCCATGGTAATTGTTCGGATGAGCTCTTCACTATGGTACCTAGAGTTTTTGAATTTAAGCTCAGTGCTAGACTGTTGTAAAGATGTCATCAATTTACAGTTGATCTGGTTAGATGTAACCAAAAATTCTCACGTTTCTCCCTTGTGGAACTCCCTTCCGGCTCCATGCTTTCCAGATGACTTTAATCTATAAAAGTTTAAATGCAATGTCAATCACTATCTACTTTCCACCTGATTACTCTCTTCTCTTTTTGCTCGTCATTAATGTTTCTGTTTCTAATTCTTCTACACCCTGTAACCCCTTGTGTTTTAGTGGCATTACTGCCTTGCTTGGGGTGATTCCAATTAAAAAAAAAACACTATTCTATAAGACTGTTTCTTTGTGGAACATCTTGCTTCCCAGTTAACTTTCATCTTTAAAATTCTAAATGCAATATCAATCGTTAGACAATCGTGTTTTCTTCATTCCTGTTCTTTTATTGCTCTTGCTCTTTACACTCAATAACCCTTTGCATTTTAGTGGCTTTATTATCTTGCTTGGGGTGAATTGATTAAAAAAAAAAACAATTCACAAGAATAATTGTATATTTACAAGTTTATAAAGATATGTAAACCAACTACAATTTAATATAGAGTGTTCCGATAATTTGGACCAATTTCAAATGTGATTTAACTTTAAGCGTCCAATGATATTTTTCTTTCAGATTTAATAACTTAAGTCTTTGGCAACTTCAACCATGGGAAGATTAACAATCAAACAATGTGTTATTGAAGTTATCGAAGCCTATTACGAAAATGGTCGTTCAGACAGAAATGCATTTCATGCACTTCACGATTATTTTGGTCAGCATAATCGACCAACCGAGAGTGCAATTGGAAAAAATTGTTTGTAAATTCAAACAAACTGGGTCAGTGGCAGATGTGAAAACACCATTGCATGTTCGTTTACGCTATTCAGCTGAAAACATTGCTGCAGAGCATGAGAATGTGGCTGAAAATCCAGACACCTCTATTCGTCACCGTGTGCAGGAATTGAAAACTTATATCTCTGACTTAGCCTTCCCCTTTTTTGCTTTATAGTCTCATGTCATGGTGCACTCTCATATCGTGAACGGTAAATGAGGGTGAGCATTAGATGGTGTCTTTCGTTTTTCACTTATGCATGCTAGCAGGAGCCATTGTAGAGAAAATCAGGTAAGGAAAGGACATGCTTTGAATTCAAAGTTGTCCTTCTCCTAGACCAGTTGCCAACCAGTCTGTCCTGCAATTTTACTCATAGCTGGGGGGAGAAGAGGATTCATACCTTTCCCAAGGGTATTAGTATGTAAGTGAATGTAATGGAATTTGAATTTGGCTCTCCAATTCCTCAATCCAAGCCACTATCGATTACTCCAACATATACATACATATATACATACACATAATAGCTTGCAAGGATTTGGATTTATACTTATTTTTTCTTGAGAAATGGCAGCAAAAATGTTAAACACTATTTCTTTATTAGCCTGTTTATTTACAAGAAGTGGGTTTAATACTTTTACTGAGAATGCATAAAAAATCCAGTTTCATAAGTTTTTTTTTAACATAGCATTTTAATACTTTTGGCATAATTTTGTCTTGCTTATAATGCACTAAATGTCGTAAGGATTTGACAAACATCTGAAGAAATCCAGAGAACATAATGATTGAAATGTTGTGATAATGACAACAAAGATGAGGATATTAGTCTGACTGAAAATAATGATAACTCCTCATCAGATAAAGAATCAGGAATTTTTAAAACTTATATCTCTGACTTAGCCTTCCCCCTTTTTTATTTTATGGTGTCATGCCTGTTTATTCAGTCCACAGGAGTTGATTATTCCCAACTGCTGTCTATCCTAAGGGAGATAACTCATTAATATGTCCTTGTGATGCTGCTTTTGGTTTTTTCCTTCAACCAGATTTTATGCCTAACTGCATGACCCAAAACAGTGAAATATAGCAAAAAATGCCTTCCAGAAGGTAAGCAAAGTATTAAGAAACTGTTAAATTTTGTTGGAAACAAAAGAAAAGCATGCTAATGCTATGTAATATCAGTCCTCCTATATGGTAGTGAATGCTGGTAAATTTATTCACAGAAGACACTTGAGGCAGCTGGTTCTACAGAAGGATGCTGAAAATACCATGGAACTAAATATGTGAGTAACGAAAAAGCTTTAGCAATAATGCAAACAAAAAGGATATTCATACTTAGACAATTTACAAAACTGTCACCCTTTATGACCAGGTGATGGATTTTGGGGGGAGCCTTAAATCTAATGTCTGTTCTTTCTTAATCAAATACTACCATATGAGAACAATAAATCCCTGTAAATTGAATAAAGGGTTTAGTTTCAACGGGTACCTGAAGAAGACTAAAAAGTACATTGTGACTATAATAACTAAGTTGAGGGTACTAGTTTGAGTAAATCATGCATCAATAAGACAATGTTGAAATGCTTATAGTATTAGAGCAAGTCGATTTTGGAACTGTGGTATTGCACTTACTTTAAAAGTGGGGGTTTCACATGATAAGTAATGACTATTTTTTACCAAATCCTTACTGTGTTTTTTGAGGAAACGAGTTTAAAGATTATATTTAAGTTCCAAAAAAGCCATATAACAGATTTTTAAAATGTATAATTTACTGAAACTTTACAAATTTTATATGGACAAGATGCATGGCACAAGCACATTATTACTAAATGATTGTGTCATCAAATAAGACTTCAAAGGGAAATTATACTGAACAATTTAGCTATATTATGATGTAATATATTATACTATTATTATGATGTAATACATTATACTATTATTATGATGTAAAATATTATACTATTGTGGTGTAATATATTTTTTTTTTTTTATTATGATGTAATATATTATACTATTATTATGATGTAATATATTATACTATTATTATGATGTAATATATTATACTATTATGGTGTAATATATTATACTATTATATTATTATGGTGTAATATATACTTTTTTTGGCATAATATATCATACTATTATTATATTATGATGTAATATGTTATACTATTATTATGGTGTAATATATTATATATTATTATGATGTAATATATTATACTATTATGGTGTAATATATACTATTGTTATGATGTAATATATTCTATTATTATGATGTAATATATTATTATTGTGATGTAATATATTATACTATTATTATGATGTAATATATACTATTATTATGATGTAATATATTATACTATTATGGTGTAATAGATTATATTATTATTATGATGTAATATATACTATTATTATGATGTAATATATACTATTATTATGATGTAATATATTATACTACTATTATATTATTATGGTGTAATATATTATATTATTATTATGGTGTAATATATTATAATTTTTTTTCGTGTAATATACTATTATTATATTATGATGTAATATGATATACTATTATTATGATGTAATATATTATACTATTATTATGATGTAATATATTATACTGTTATTATATTGTGGGATTTTCAATAAACAATGCAAAAACTTGTCTTATAATTTGTGCCCAGCAGTATTATGGTGTTATGTACACTTTTATCTGTTTTTTGATTTTATTAATTACAAGCTTCAAAGCCTCCCTATCAGAGGAAGGCTGTTGATTGGGCCTTCATCACAATACGTAAAGAAGTGTAGATGTTATAGGAAACAATAAACTACAGAAGAATTTGAAATTGATTGCTGGATATTTAAGCTTAACCTTTAAAAGTTCAACAGTAATTCTTTTGACACCAGTTAAAGAAAATTTGATGTATGTAGGTCCTTACTTTCTGTACAAACAATTATTTTTATTTCATGGGTAACTTTCACTGGATTTTGCAATTAGTTTCAATTATTCCCAAATTTATTTCCAAGTTATAAAAGCTGTTATAGTACAGAAAATTTGTCACAAAAAAAATCACTTTAAAAGAAAAACACTAAAAAAAAAAAATCACAGTAATGAAAACTTGAAAATCCAAAATTTCAGAATTGCAAATCTGGATCCAGGCTGGAATGTTTTTAACTTGATCATGGAGTCAGCCAGATTCCAAAATCGTATGATATGTTGGGCTACGGCCTCTAGGAGAAAAGGTAAAAAGGTGTGACACACTGACATTCACGTTTATTATATAGATGACATAACAAATGATTTAACATATCTTATTCTTTGAGTAGCCTTTTTTGTAATCTTTTACAATTTTTTAACAGTTTTTACTTATCGAATACAGGAAAGAAATTGCATATTTTGCCTGTGTTAATTCATAATTAGAATCCTGGTTTGAATATATTTATATTTATTATGTCATAATCTCTATATATAAAAGGCAGGATGTGTGTGTGTGTGTAACAAATGCACGGCCGCAATTTTCAACGGATTTGCACCAAATTTACATGCACATGCTCCAAGTTAGCGGGAAGGCTAAGACTGACTTTGCATTTCCCAACTCCCATCGATAGTGGAAATAATTTATTTTTCATG